CGTCTTTCCTTTCCTTATGTGGTTTCTTTAATAATTCTTCAGGTAATACAATCTGTTCCTGTAGTCACCTGCTTTTGCTTAGGCCAAAAATATCCTCTTCTGTTTCTGATCTTTGACCTTTTTAATTTGCTTCTCCGTGTGTTTGGAATTCTGTTTCCTCTAATGTCTCTTTTTATCAACTGCTTTCCACCAAAATGGTGCTTAAAGGGTTTAATAATAAAATTATAAGGTTTTATGTAATGTATAATTAAGGTTTTATCAAAAATAAAATCTTAATTAAAACATTAAAAGGACAGATCCATTAAAATGCAATTAAAAGCACAATAAAAGAAATAGACAACACCCAACCAATTCAAGTCCACTTCAACAACCAATTAGTTCACATGCCAAAGGCTTGCCTGAATAAAAGTGTCTCTCCCTGCCAGTGGAAGAAAAGAGAGGAAGCCAACCTATTATCTCACTGTTAAGTTCCAGCACCCTGGAAGGGTCACGAAGAAGGCCTTCTCTCGTGTCCTTTCTGAATGTGCATCTGATGGTGGTGGGACAAAGTGCAGGGACTCCTCTTAAGATTTTAAAACCTGGGCAGGCTCATACAGGAGTCTGTGGTGTTACAGGTAGCCTGAATGGTTCTAACTTATATAAGGCCTTATAGGTCATAACCAGCAGTTTAAATTCTGCCCAGAAATGAACTGCGGGTCAGTGGAGCTGCTGTAATGAGGGAGTCACATAGTTCCTGTAACTGATGCCAGTTCAGTCTGATTACAACATTCTGGACCAGCCGCAATGTCCAAACTCTTTTCAAAGGCAGCCCAAAGAGGATGTAACTCAGGCATGCAGGGCCATGGCAAAACCTCTAGGAATGGGTGCATTTGGTGCACTAGCCTCAGCTTTGCAAACCCTAGCTACTGCCAAAAAATGGGCATTCCTTTAGACAACAACAATGCTTTGATTCGCAATTGTGATGGGATAATTTATGAAGGCTTTTAAATTATTTTCTCTCATGTCAGCTATGTTTAGATATTAAATCTTCAAACAAGGACACTTCAAGTTTTTTTAATGTACTGGAAGTAGCTAACTACATTTGTTTATTAGATTTTATCCCTTTTCCTTTTTTAAAGAACTCAAAGCGGCTTACATATTTATCCTCCTCTTGCTTGCTTGCTTGCTTATTTATTTTCCAATTTATATCCTGCCTTTTTCCTACAAAGGGCTCAAGGCAGCTTACATCTCCTCCTCCATCTTATCCCCACAACAACAACCCTGTGAAGTAGGTTGGGCTGAGAGTCTGTGACTGGCCCAAAGTCACCCAGTTGGCTCCATGACTGAGCAGGGACTAGAACTCAGATCGTCTGAGTCCCAGTCCCATGCTCTTAACCACTACACCACACTGGCTCTTATAACCTTATCCGTACAACAACAACTCTTGTGAGGTAGATCAGGCTGAGAGTTTGTGATCAGCTCAAGGTCACCCAGTTGGCTCCATGGCTGAGTGGGGAGTAGAACCTGGATCTCCCAAGTCCCAGACCTGCACTCTTAACTACTCACACTGATTTCAAATGCTGTACCATTACTATTCCTACTAGTAATATTACAACTGCAGATATCAAAATATGCCAGAGTAAGAGCAGTAACTTGTTTAAATTTAGTCTGGGTGTTAAATTCTCCAGCAGAGTGGTCATGTCAGGTACACTGCAAGGTAAATAAAACATTCCCCTCCTCTACCTAATCCCAAACTAGAATAGTACCTGAAACCTGAAAATAGGATCTACTGAAAACCTGGTTGAGCTAGCATGTTTTGTTCAGTGGTAAGTGGCAGTTGAGAACAGCTTCCCATTTCTCCTATGACTTCTACTTTGGTGACCTAGAAATGCAGAAATTCTGTGTGAGAAGTGGAACTATACAAATACTCAAGATCAGATGGATGTAGTGGCATTTGCACAGCTGGGCAATTTCACTGCTCCCATGTGGCTCTTCTCTTAACAGAGCAATGTTCTTGCCTCTCTTAGACCTTTGATTACCTCAGTATGGTTCAGTGCAGCAGCTGGTCTGCCATCCTCTGAAATGGTACTTCTTGTTACTGCTGAGGTCAGGATACTAGGGTGGATGGAACATCTTAAAGCCAGGGCAGTACAATCCTTCACCTGAAGAACCTTAGTCAAAGGTATTTCCAGCTACTCACCATTACCCTTTTGAAGCATTCCCCATATCTTTGTTGGTCTTGTTTGAGTGGATGTGATTTTCCCCCATTTCTCAATTAGTCCCAATCTTTCCATCATACAGTAACACGTTCATTGTACAAGATGTTGCGTCATACTGCACTGGAACTTGAAACTACAGATTCTGTCCCCACTGAAAAGCTATATACCCCTTCTCTCTCCATGCTCAATGTATATTTTATATATTGTATATCCCCTTTTTTGCTCACTGTACCTTGCTTGTATATTCCACTGTATTATCGCTTTTCTCTACCAATGTTGTATATTGGTTTTCTCTCCACACTCAATGACTGCAGAAGCCAATGGCTGCAGAAGTCATTTCTGTTCAAGTGACAGGGAACATTTCAATAGCTGTGCCATGAACCAGCAACAGAAACCCAATGGTTAAGGTGGAAGGAAGATCACACTCGTCTGCACACGTGCACACACACACACACACACACACACATGAAGCTGTAAATGGCAAGTGGTAGAAATGAGAAAGGAGAAATAGTAATAGTTATGGATGAGGTAGTGAGGTGTGTAAGAGGGTTGAGAATGAAGATATTGAGGGCAAAGGAGGGGGAAGCTTCCGATAGGTTAGAACTGCATTGACAGAGAAGGAGGCATGGAGCAGCAGAGAGAAGGGGCAGAGAAAAAGTTTAGTTAATTTATTTCTGAACTACTTCCCCTAAGGTTGTGTTCTTTCATAGGAAGTTACACCATCATGGAGGCAGAAGTACTGAAAAGGTGTGGGTGTCTGTTTTAAGTGACACAAAGAGATCAAAAAACCATTAGAAATACCATGAGAACATTTTCCCATAACCAAATATAGGCAGCCGGAAGGACATGAGTGAGCAACCTTGATCGCAGAATCAACAGCAACCCATAGGCTGCTATGTGGATGGAGCCCAATCCCAAACAGAACTGGGCTCTATCCACAGTTCTGGTCTCCTTCTGCTCTTAAATGGAAGGCATTTTCTCTGGGCATAAGTCCTGCTGCTGGTCTTGTCTATTTGAGTCCTACAGTTCTGGCTGTGTATAACTGAGAGCCATAACAAAGGTGAGAATTTGAACAAGTTTTGAACTAATACCACTTTTACCAGTGTAAAACTGGATTGAATAGCAAGCAATCTAAACTTTTTTTCCTCCTTTAAATTTCAGTTCATGTCTAGATGGAGGATTTTTTAGGTGTCAGGCCAACTGACAGCTGCTAGTCATGTGCCATGGTGCCAATTCCACCATAATTCCACCTTCCACAATTCCACCTTCCAGCTCCAGTGGCACATTGGTTGAACTACCAGGATCAGTATGGATAGCACTGTGATGTATTCCAAAAGTATCATTGTACAAAATTATATGTCAATTCTATATTCCCTGTACTACTGATTTAGTGCTATACTGCAGAACCAGTAGTGGTCACCTCAATACAGCTTGAAGTGACCAAGCTATTCCAATTGCTATGGATCTCATTCAGAATCAAATCTGGTTGCTTTTTTCACCTGCCTGGGAACAAGCAGCAGAGAAGGAGCCTTCTTACTAACTTGTTTGTATTTTAATTTTTTGCGAAATTCAAAAAGGTACAGAAAGATTACTTGCATCTCAAACTACTCAGGGGAAACCTAGTAACAGCTTCCTCTGAGAACTAGTGGTACTCTTCTCTTCTAGTTGAAATCATCTTTAGATTCTCCTTATAATCCAGTAGGTTCGTATGGAACCAGAACTGATTTATAATTTGTCCTGATTTACTACCCAGACATACTTTGGGGCACAGAGAGTGTAAATCCAGATTCAAAGTAGACTCTAGACCAGCCTTCCCAAACGTACTGTTTTTCAAATGTTTATATTACAACTCCCTTCAGTCCCTGCTTACTTAATGTAATTAAGTTTGTAATTATAGGGAGGGTACGATCATCTACGCTGTGAAGGCTGCAACAGGATCTTTAGTCTTAATGTTGTTGCACATGTATGCTGCAGTCAGGAAAGATGGGAAAGATAGACATTTCATCTCAATTGTGGGATTCATTCCAAAATGGATGAGGAAGGCAAATTTCTAGTTATAGGCTACATGGTTAAGTTGCACCTATGGGCAGATGCTCTGTGAAATCTCCAGACATAAGTGCATTACATGCTCTTATCTGATTGGGATAACATAATTTTTCTCTCCAGTGTTCCTTATACAAATACTGAAGGCTTGTTTTCATTTCATATTGCTATGCTTAAACTGTTTCAACAATGTGGTTAACTAGATTTTAATTCTGGTTTTAGTTTTCTTTCTCTTTCCTTGTTATCTACACATTGGCCTGATTAATGTTCTTATAACTTCATTTGTTAAGTTTTCGATCTTTGATCTCTCTTCCCCTTCCGGCTTTGTTATTCCCAGTTAATTTGATGTGTCTGTATTGGCTGGGTAGCTCCATAGCAAACCACAGCTGTAGAGGTTGTTTGAGGGGTGGCAAGAGGTATGGGAAGTCAAATGTTTTTAAAGAAATGCCTTTTAGGCTGGATATAGAAGGATGAGCTGATGGCACACTGAGAGGGGAGTCTGAGTAGGAGTCTGTGCCTTGGGTTTGTTTCTTACCCGCCCCACATTTTCTGGCCATAATGGAGTCTCTGAAACATGGAATGCTAACAGTTCTGAACAGACACACTGTTACTGCTCAAGAAATTTGATCAGGAGGAGGGATAGAAGAAATGTACAAAAATCATAGGTTTAAACATTTTGTTTTTGGGAAAAAAGAATTAAAAATGAAGCTAACTTGAAATATTTCTTATGTCTTTTGAAAAAATATATATATATTCTACCTTATAAGCAACACGGGCTGGGCATTTCTTCCCTAGCCCCAGGGGTGGAGACATATGTCTCAGCATCTCATACATGTCCATGAAAGTCATCCGGCCCCTGGGAGCAAAAAATTAAAAATAAAACAAACACAAAATAAAAATAATAATTTAAAAAGGAAAAATACACGGAAAATAGGAGAGAGAGAGAGAGAGAGATGCAAAGAAGAAAAAATTTGGAAAACAATTGGAAAAGGAAAAAAAAACGGAAGATAAAAATGCAAAGATTACTGTGCTGCTTGTCAGCCAAGAGCTTGAATATGCTTGATCTTCATGGATGACTGGGAGTAGAAGGGTGGTTCCTCAAACTGTGGCTGGATTTAAGATAAGCATGGCCTCCATCTGTTTTACTCAACCTGAGGTAAGAATGCAAAAACCCACCGCACCCTCCCCACGGGCTTGTTGGGCCAAGGAGTGTAGAGCCAGGTGCTCTTAGTAATGAAGAACCATAGAAAGAAGGAGAGAAAGAGAAAGACAGATTGAGATGAGAAGCCCCTCTTTGCCAATGGGGGAGGAGGGCAGGGAGAGAGGGTAGAGGAAGAGGGAGGGTGGAACGAATTGGATAGGAGGGGAAGGGGAAAATGGTAGAGGTGTCAATGGAGTCTCTGTCCTCCCCAGATGGAACAGTGATGTGCAGAGGGGGGTGGAGGTGGGTACAGAGAGACTCATAGAACCCTCCAGGCCTAGCTCCAGCTAACAGCAAGCAGAGATGGTTCAAGGTAACTGGTATGTATGCTCCATGCGTTACTGGTCTGGGTGGCAGCATCATTTCACGCATTCTGTTGGCTAGTTACATTACTAAATTACTCTTGAAAGTGCAATATATAGATAGATATGTGTACAGATATATATACATATATATATATATGAAATATATATATTAAAGAAACCATAAGCAACATTCATTCCGTTGATGCTAGCAGGTTTTAGTGTAAGTCAAACCTTGCAAGCAACCCTATGAGGGCATTTCTTGCCTAAGCCCAGGGGGGGAGATATTACACGTAATAAACTGTACATATCCTTATAATGAATTCGGCCACTGCAAGAAGAATACATGGGGGTTAGTGCAGACGCTACAGGGCAAGAGAAATACAAACACTGTCAAGAACACACAGAACATAGCAGGACTGCTGGCTAGAGTCTGTCAGCCCAGCCATACCACCACCCTCAGGTTATGTGGAGGAGCTGAACTCTGCCATTGGCTGCAGTAAGTGGAAAAGGCCCTCTTAGAGCCAGGCAGGTGAAGCTTAGCTGCAGCCCTAGAGGCTCCCTCACCAACACTGTGGAAAGGAAGGCAGACAGGGTCATTTACTTCAATACACAGGGGCGATACAACTGAGCTTTACACAGCAGAGATACAATTTTATCTTAGCTCATGTGTCAGAGCAGCACAGATCAGATCTATTTGAACCCTGTGTCCCAACTTGGACATTTGTTCCACTAGATGTTGCTGGCTTTCCAAAGTCATGATGGACCCTTTGTATTGAGTCGCTGTACTGAGGGCTTACTGGGATTCACTACAACATTTCACCTCCTTCCTTTTATTTTGGGGGTTATTAACAAATGCACAGAAACCAGTGCTCAGGTGGGGGCAGACCTGAATCTTCTGTCCCCGCACAGCACAGGCTCCTTCACAGACACTCCCTCAGCTGGGCTTGGCAGGGCTTGCCGATTAGGGCTGGCAGCGTAAACAAACACATTAAACCTGGACACAACGGGCATTCACTCTCAGCGGGGCACAGGGATGACAAACGATAATAAGAGAACATTGGGTGGACTTTCTGTCAGGTGCCAATCATTACAGCTCTGCTGACTGTGCCTGCTTGCAGCAGCAGCTTGCCTGGTGTCCACCCCGAGGTAAAACGACAAGAGACGTGTTACACACCAAAATGGAAGGCCAGGCCCCAGACACACACAGAGTCACACACAGCATCTCTCTCTCCGCCCCGCCTCTCTCTTGCTCTCTGTCTCTCTCTCACACACTTCTACAGATTGAAATAATAGGAATGTGTCATCTATTGCTAACAGAGCTACTGTGTGCATTTCATTGACTGCAGAACAACAGTGAATACCCGTAGGTTTTGTGCAAACTGCAAAGTGAGTACACCCCAGTACCCCTTTTTTGGCCCAGGTGCTGCTAAATTGGCACAAACCATGAAGCATAGCCACTGTCAGGGGCTTCACTGGGAATAAAAGTGCCTGGCTCAATCATTGCTAGTGATACTGCTCATATCTCCTATTGTATGGGCTATGTAGCCCACAAGGCAGAATAGGGAAAAGGCACAGGGCACACATCATGCCCTTTTGAACATCTAGGGCAGTATGAGGGTGGATGTGTATGGACTTTACAGAATCCAGCTGCAAACACCTAAAATTGAAAGAGGAAATGTTAATCAGCAACAAACTCTGCACATTTGCTTCTTCCAGTCACTTGTTTCTGGTGAGACCCACTGAAATTAGCCAAAAGGACTGAAAACAGGAATGGCAAAGTGGCAGTGGCCACAGCGCCATGTTGACTGGAGCTCAGCTAAGGTGGGTGACTCACAGTGGAGCTGCATGCAAACAGAGGCAATGGCTCCAATCTCCGTTTCAGCCTAGGTGCCTGTCCTCCGTAGCTGTCAGGATAGTTTCCTATCTTAGCTCTGTTAGAATAGATGGAGCAGAAGTTCCTGGTCTTCTTTTCCAAACCGAATTCTAACACCTCCTCATCCCTCTTGCTCTACTCTGTTTCCTCCCACAAGTGGAATGAGAGCTCCAGAGTTGATGCCCCTACCAATCAAGTGCTTTTCTTCTGTGAGGGAAATCAAGAGAACTCAAGCATCTTGGCTTCCACTGCTTTTGTCTTTCTAACCACTAGATCCCACTTTCCGATAGAGTTGGACTTAGAACACAGGAATCTTGGGTTCCTGCCTCTCTGCCTAGCTATTAAGATCCACTTCTCCTCCCTCCTCTGCCCCAGGTCTCCTTATTAAGGAGGCATGACCCCAAGCAAGGATCAATCTGATCCTTTCCCCAAGCTTTTGCTTGGGGCAAGGTGAGGGTCCTGAGTTTAGCATTGGGAAGGGGAAAGTAGGTGTGTCCTTACCAAGCAGCAGGATCATACTCAGCCCACACACGCACATACTCATCCAGGTGGTGGGGCCCCAAAATGGAGGAGTCACGGGTCAGATATTCAAAGTTGTCCATGATTACAGCCACAAAAAGGTTCAACATCTGTAGTATCAAAAAAAGAAGGGAGAGAGATACAGGGAGGTGAAATAAGTGGAGATTCCAGAAAACTTGCTGAAGCCTTTCTGTGGCTCAGAGTCTATGTGAGCTCAAGCCACCAGTGGCAAGGACCAATACAGTAACAGGCGTGCACATGCAGTCTTATTATACATAATAGCAAGGATAGACTAATACATTTATATACATGCAAACAGCAGACATAAAATCAGCATATTGAAACTTAAAATTAGCATACCCACGCACTTCCCTTGGCACACACGTTTGTCATAGGGCAAAGGCTGCTTGCCCACCTCAAATGAGCCTCCTGTGACAGCAGGCCTTACCACCAGGTGGATAATATTCAAGAGGTGCAGGTTGCAGCTACAGAACAACCTGGTCATCGTCCGAGAGGTGACAACAACAAGAGTGAAAGTGCTGCAAGGGACTGAAAAGTCATCCCTCCCTCCTGATTGGCACTCCCTCTAGAGTGCAGGGTCAGGGCACGATGTGTGAAAGGAATATTGAATTCTCTGAGAGCTGATTCTTAAGCAGCCCAAGTGACACCATCCACACACGAGAGGGAGGTATTTGGGCTCCTCCCCAAGAAACCTAATGGGGACTAAGCTTGCTCAGTCACCAAGGAGAGCTACTGAACATTGGGGCAAGTGGGAAAATGGTGCTTGTGTATGAGGAATGCCCTAACTTAGAAGAGGACTTAACGGGCTGGCTAAGACCATGAAAAGGAGCACTTCCACACTGCACCATTTTGTCTACAAGCACATGAGATCTTCATTTGGGGAGAGGTTGTGCAACTTCACAAAGCTTCCCCTACTAGTCCCACTAATGAGTAATACAGCAGAAAAATGAATGCTAGAGGTAATGGTCTAGTAGAAAATTCTGAATTGCAGGCACTCATCATCTCCACAGTCACCACTAAGGAGATTCTAAGAAATTGAGACAGTTGTGTGGATCCAAATCATCAAGCAAGTTCTAGTAGTTTTAAGCTCCACTGGGAACAGGGAGATTTTAAGCTCCACTTGTCATAAAGCTAATGAGTCTTAATTCAACACCATGATATGCTAACTGGGAATTACAGGAGTTACACTCCAACATATCTGGATGGCACTAGATTGGGGAAAGCTGGAGCAGACAAAGAGAGGTAAGCAATTAGAAGTGGGAAAATTTGAGCCCATAAAATGAGGGGCAATGGAAGGGTGAGATCTGTTAGTGTTTTCTCCTTGAATCTTTTTAAAGGTTGCCCAAGTGCATCTTTTGGATTTATACAGTCAGAAACACAGCAGTAAAAGAGCACATTTTAAAATAAAAACGTATTTAAAAACCATTATGGTATGAAAATGGACAAAGGATCAGAGAAGAGTGTATTGTTCAGTAGCAAGTATGGTAGAGGCACTAACCAATATGAGTATGTGATACTTTCATGGAAATGTTAGTTAGGAAGAAAGTTGTGTTTTCCTAATAGCAATATGTTATGATTTGAGTGCTAGAAAAAACAATGATTTTCCTCTGGCAAAAATGTCTAGATGCCTAAACAGCTATTTGGAATGCCTTTGCTGCTACTTATACTTATTAAAATGCACATTCACATCAGATGATGCACCAAGAAACTAGAGAATTAAGCTTGCTTCCCCTCTGCTACTTCTCTTACTGTATGGTTGATAATGAGCATAGACTGCAAAATATACAGAGCTCTTTATCCTCAAGTGCTATCTTGAGAAAAGATTCCCACATCACCCTCCACTGTTGCACATTAGGACAATCATCTTGGAAAGGTCTTCTGTTGGCAACCTTTTGGTTTCATGATTCATGGTTCCTTCCACCTGTGCAGCCCAGTCCCATGTTGCCTCCCCTATTTCATCCCCCTTCTGTCCTTTGACTCACCAAGAAAGAGCATAGGAAGATGAAGGAAACAAAATAGAAATATGCAAATTCGTTGCCACACTCCCGGCCTTTGAGGTCTGCTTTTTCATCACATGGCTTCCCACTCAGACAGGCGAGCATAATCTCATGCCAAGCCTCACCTGTGGCACTCCTGGAAAACAAAGAAGAGAAAAAGATGGCGAGTGCTGGGGACATTCAGGTGGGAGCATCTTCATCTTGTGTGTTGCTTGCAGTACCAATAAGCAAAGGACTGTAAACCTTTGAGCACAGACATTATTGAAACAGCCATCTCTGCCAGACTATGGATGCAAGTTTCAGAAGGATCTCTTACCTGTGATGAAGCTTAGTAATACAACTTCATTGTTGCTTTTACAGCATACTGATTCAACCCTGTTGGGTAGGCATAAGGACTGTAGAATGCAATCTCTCACCCACTACCAAAAGATAGCCAATTTGATTGTGGCACAGTCATTGCCCTGTATTGTGAAGGCTACAAAACTGAATGTGCAACTCACCTAAACAGAAGCATCAGGGCCTGAAAAAAAGTGCGGAAATTGTTGTGCTCCGTGATGGCAGGCATGTCGTCCTCAGACATATCCTCATCGTGATCAATGCTGATGTTACCAAAGACCTGAAGAGCAAGATGAACCTAAGTCTTCAGGAAAGAGCAAGTTCCCCAAAGTTGCCATCCAGTGGTGGAAAAGCCAGTGCTTGCAGCACGGGGTGCCAAGTGGCCTGTCAGCACAGCTGAATAAGGCTCATTTGCATGTCTGCAGAGAGTCAGGAAGTTAAAAGGTATCCTGTTCCAGGCTAGGGCCTACAGGGACCATGCACGGGAAGAGTTCAGGGTGGGCTACAGGTGGTCCAGACCCAAGACAATTTACTGTGGGGCTTTTTACATGGTTAAACCAGATGCAAATCACACCAATAAAAATGACATTTTAGAATTAACAATAAGCTTTAAATAATTGAAAAGCAGAGTGACTGTCTCAAGAGGAGTGATGCTTTGACTTAATGGAACTATGCCCTGTTCCACAGGTGTCAGCTTTAGCAGGGCTAAAGAGCCCTTTGCTGTCTGTTAATGGTGAGGTGGCAGAGGAATGTCCTCTGTCCCAGGCTTCAGGTAATTTTGGGGACAAATCCAATGAATTGAGAAAGGGAGGCAGGGCTACATCCTCAAACACAGAGGATGAAGGCATCGCTATTCTCTGCATCTCCCCCTCTGTAGAAGACCAGGTGCTGCCAGAAAAGGCTTTTATAACACCATTGCTCAGCCTCATCTGTATAGGAAGAACAGATGATATCACCTTCCAGTTGTAAATATGTCTTCTCACAGCTTCAATTCATTTAAAAAGGAAACAATGGAATGCTTGCACAATGTTTGTTGATTTGTTAGTGAAAGGAGCCCTTCATCTGGAAGTACCCACTAGCAAGCAGTAACTGTGGAGGCTCTTCTGGGCTAGTTCCTGACTCTGATCATCCCCATTCTCTCTTTAATCCAATTTCTCCTCTAATAGCAAAGGGCTGCAGAGTGTATGTGTGTGTCTGAATACTGATGCATGACCAAACAACAGTCCAATGGCATACTAAATTGAAATAATCCAGCAACCTTTGCTTTAGCTATTGGAGATGGTAAGGCTATATTATAGTGGCAACACTTAAGGATAACCACAATACAAAATGTCGTTATGAACTAGCTGTCCGCACTTTTTTTCAACACAGCAGGAGTTGCCATGTGAACATGGAGACCTACGGGATTTAGCACAAGTGTGGTGATGATGCCATTGGCTATTCAATGTGCTGCAGTCCTCCATGCTTGCACAGTAAGAACATGAGAAGGACCATGCTGGATCAGGCCAAGGTCCCTCTAGTCCACCATTCTGTTCACACCCAACATGACATGAGCGCAGTAGAACCCTCCCACCCAACTGATGTACAGAGCCATATTGCCTCTGGTACTTGAGACAGCACATGGCTATTAGGATTAGTAGTCACTGATTCCTCCATGAACTCGACCACCCCTCTTTAAGCCAGATAAACTGGTGGCCATTATTATTGCCTTATGGTAGAAAATTCAACAGTGTAGCTGTGGACTGTATGAGAAAAACCTTCTTTTATCTGTCCTGAATCTCCCACCAATCAGTATCTTCCTATCCAGGTTCTTCATGCCATTAAGTTCCTGTGTAACCTGTCATGCTAGGTCTCACTCTGGAAGTTCAAAAGTCCCAACATGAAGCTAATAGCACTACAGACCCCATGCTGTGCTAGTATGCACATTGAGATCAAGCTTGGGGTAATGGTGTGCTTCCACTTACCTGCATTCCAATAATTGCGTAGATGAAGAAAAGCATTGCAATCAGCAGACACACATATGGAAGGGCCTAGTGGGAGGAAACATGGGCATACATTTTTTCTAAGCTTCTTAATTTTAATGCAACCACACTTGTTTTACTGGGGATATAGATTCCTTGCTTCCCACCAGTTTCATGAAAAGAAGTGCTTGCAGGCTTTGTTGCCCTTCCCCACACCTCCTGCTGCATCCCATCCTTACTACAGAAATCCTGCTGTAATTATTTAGCCATGTAAAAGAGCAAGCCAATTGAATGCTGCTCACAAAACAAGGTTCAGTATCAGCACTATGGCAGAAGAAGCCCATGATTCCATGTTAACAGGGCAGAGAATGAACAGGGAGGTTGATGGGAATGGGTGCCTCGAGACATTGCCTCTTAAACTTTCTGCACTCCTAATCACTCCCCCCACCCCACTTCCCCTACTTCACATCCCAAAGACTCTCAGTTAGTAACTCAATGCACTCGAACATTACCTTAAAGGACTGGACAAAGGTCCAGAGCAGGATGCGGATGGTGTAGCCCTGTCGGAGCAGCTTAATGAGGCGGGCAGCTCGGAACAGCCTAAGGAAACTCAGGTTGATGAAGTTGTTCTGGGGAGATGAAGGGAAAGTGGCATGAGCAGGATCAGGGTGTGGGTGTGCGGACATCAGACCCAGGGGCTTGGTGTGTAAGTAAACCCAGGCTACCCCTGCAGTGGTTAGTAAGATTAGTAAGGATGACTGAGCAGCAAAGAAAGGGAGAGGGATCACCCACATGAAGATAACTAGCATGATAATAAGGCCACCCTCCCTTGGAAAAATATTTGCTTGGGAAATCAATGATTGCTCATCAACACAGGACTACATTTTTAAGTTACCCACAACCAAATGCACTGATTTTTTTGACACAAGCAAGTAGAACATTATTGTGTGGCCTCACATCACACATGTTCTATGCACACAAATCCAGAGAGAGGGGAAAGCAAGACAAGTGCCAGCAAGGAAGGGGATCGTTGAGGGATGACTGGAGGCTTGCAATTATATATAAGAGATTCTGGATGAAAAATGCATCTGCCTTGTGCATCCAACAGGTGTCAAGCCACACATCTCGAGGCCCTGAAGAATGAATGGTTGTTATCAAGCAATTTGCAACTAAAATAAAAAAGTGCTTCCAGCACAATAGGAAAAGCATACATTCCTGTTGGGTTCACCAAGATGCATTTTTACCTGTCTCCTTCAGAGAAAATGGTATATAAGCTTCTGGGATAGAAGAAGTACACTCTAGCATGACTCTATACTTCCTAATGTAAAAATGCTTGAAGTCTATTTCTGGGCAAAAAGACCTTGCTAAAAAAAAAGTCCCAAGTTTTACTTCATTGTGGATGTTTATTCATTTTGTCCCGCGGACTCTTGCCAGTTTCCAGGCTGATTCCACTGGAACCAGACTTTGATGCCTCACTGCATACACCAGGAATGAAAATTGCGATATGCAAGTGCCAAGCCAGCAGTTTCTAATGGATCTAAAGAGCTCTGCCATGTGGCTTTACTGACTGTGCTGTGGTTGTCTGAGTATGCTGGGATATCTGGGCAACACACATCACAAGACAGAATGTAGTTGCACCATCACAAGCCATGAGGCTTGTTTAACTATCTGTGCAATAGCGCCCCTCAGACACAAACAAACTCCCAGAAAAACTGAACAAAAAAGAAAGACTCAGAGACTACACATGTCAAGAGACTGGTGGGAAGGCTCAACATATACCTGACTTACTGTGTGCTTGCTCCATAATTACAAACAAAGATTAAAGTGTCACCATGCCAATCACACAGTGGACATTATAAGACACCAGGCCTTGCAGCCAAAGAACTCCAGGTAGTACACTCTCTGCTGCCAGCCAGAGGAACTTCGTAACTCCATCTTCACTGTGTGTCAGTGTGTGTGTGTTCCCAGAAGCTATAAGCCCATCCCTCTTCAAGACTCTCAAAAGGCTGGCTGTGTAATTTATTTTAGTGCTCATGCATGATCATAGTGGCAATGGCTTTATAACAGCATGCAATAGGATGAAACCAATGGATTAGACCTTCAGGCTCAGATCATGCAGAACAAACAGAAAAAATGATATTCATGCAGGAGAGAGAAAGAGAGAGAGAGAGAGAGAGAGAGAGAGAGAGAGAGAGAGAGAGAGAGGGAAATCACCACACCTGTTCACTGTGGGAAAGCTACCCCCACTCTGGTCACTGGGAATGGTGCAATACACCATTCCTCCTCTTCCACTAGTCCTCCTCTGCTACATGCCGAGGTTCATTTCCAGCACTGCTTTTTAAACACTCCTGTTTTATGGCCAATGTCTTACATCTAGAATCCTTCAGTCAAATATTTTAGATTATGATTTATTTTTCTATCCTACCCTCTCCTTCTGAGGCAGTTTATATGATCCTCCTCCTCTCCATTTTTTTAAGACAACACTGTGAGGTACGTTAGGCTATGGATGAATGACTGGCCCAAATCACCCAATGAACTTCATGGCTCAGTGGGTCTGCAAGCTGGATCTCTCAAGTTCCAGTCCAAAGCTGGTTCTCCATAATGGCTTTAAACATTCTTTTAACCCTTGAAGTGAATTTCTGTCCTGTTCTTCCTTTGTGACACTCATTAGACCTTAGGGTTTTCAGGTCACAATGTCAGGACAGCAGAAGCTACTAAGTGAGCAAAATTCCTTCAGGGCCTAGATCTAGCTGCCTCAAGGAACTCAAGGCAGCCTATATCTTTCTCCTCCTCCTGCTCTCAGTCTTATCCTCACAACAGCCACTCTGTGAGGTTGGTTGGGCTGAGAGTCTGTGACTGGCCCAAAGTCATCCCGTTTGCTCCTTGGCTGAGTATCTACTGTTCCAAACAGTACGTGCCTGCCAACTTCCTATGGATACTTTTAATTCCAGCAAAACTGTTAACTCCCTCCTCCTTATAAACATTGGATCTAAACCACATTGTCCTTTGAGCAGCTGAACATTCAGAACTGTAGTACCAATTCATCCTATCAGTGTCACATGCTTCATTTCTACAAGGAAAATAAAGATGTGCAAAAAATTATGGAAAACATTTGTATGTGTGCCTCATTCACTTTGAAAGAATGAGATCAACAGATCATACTTGTTGTGTCAAATTTGTGAAAGACACATATGCAATGCTTCTTTACTGTTGTATACATAAGGCTTAAGACCAAACCAATGCCAGAGTGTGTATGTGTGTTACAAAAGTAACACTGGATGTGGCCCTGAAGATAAAAAAGGTCTGTCTGTAACTGACCCTACACAACTGACTTCCAAGGAAAGGAATATGCCAAGGAAAGGCAATTTTCCTTTCAGCTCTTCTAAATGGGCTTCCGATTGATTTCCATTTTAATTTATTTTTAAAAATATGTTCCTTCTAGTAAGGGCCAGTTCTATTTTATCTACCAAGACAGGGGATCTGTATGCTTGGTGCATGATAAACACTTTAGTGTCTGCCCGCATGTATTGATGGGAAGTGTGTGTTGTGTGTGACACTACGAGAAGAGATAGTCGGAGACCCAGCTAAGGTTCTGTTATGGGAGGGCTGAAGAGGTTTGAGTGAAGAGGCTTGTATGCATGTGTACATAGAATGGAAAACTTCTGTCCTTTGTTCAGAGGGATAATTAAAGGGCAAGCGTTATATTAACTATTCTATCTGCCTCTGCACACACCAAAAATATATATGATATATGATGGCTGCCATACATAAGCAAACTGCCATGGCATTCTGGAAATCATAAAATAAGGGACATGCACGTGATACTATCACAAATTTCTCCTCACATAGCAACTGACAGTGGAGAATCTGCCTTGCTATAATTTTTCTTTTGCCTTCTTTTCCTTACCCTGCCTTTTTTAGAGCTCCCATAGGAGTGCATACTGAAAATGGACTAATGCTGAGCAGCTAAGAAGGAAGTCAGCAAAAACTTGCTTCTCCCGGCAGCATGCTTCATTGCATCCACCTGTTCTTCTCACTGCAGATTTCAAATCAAATGGACTCATCTCTTTAGAGCACTTTTGCCCAAACGTGCCTTCCAGGTGTGCACAGCACCTTTCAGCTGTGTTGGACTACAACTGTTATCACCCCTGCCCTACCAACTGCTGCAGTGCCTGGGTGGTGCTGGAAGATGTAACACAACACAGCTGGAGGGCACCGGTTGAAGAGTGTCCTTAGAGAGTGGTATGTCAAGGCTGCAATACTCATCCACGACAGCATATCCTTCCCGTGCAGTTACTGGAAACAATATGTGAATCCGAGTAACATAAAATGCATGACACAAAATGGGGCTGGGGTTGAGTTTGGAGCAGGCTGAAAGAGCAAGCTGGCTAGTAAATTGCAGGCATCTTTGGCTCAAACGTTCATGCAATGTGCCAGAAAGATGCTCTTCATTAAAGTAAGGCACGTAGGGTTCAGAAAGTAATCAAACCAACCGATTTCTAGATGCAAATGTTGAGATGGAGAGGATCAGAGGAGGTCAGGGAAGGGTGGGTGTTTTAATACCGCAAGTTGAGTTCCAACCAGCAAACGGAGAAAGGCAGAAGGTAGTGATTTCATTTTTGGTGATGGGAGAGGGAGCAGGGCAGGGAAGTTCAGAAATATTCATTGGCATGGACACACAGACCGGTTCATGGATGGACAGATGGATTTTTCATAGTGCATTTTGATTGGATGACATTTTCAGAGGGTGTTGCGCCAAAATAGAACAGTATAAAGAGACAGCATGGAAAGAAGATAAGACAAGAGACACAGTCATTATATATCACACATAGCCCTGGGGAAGGAGACATCTAATCCACCCTTCTCCCACACTTGCCCTTTTCCCCTGTCATGTTAGGGAACCCATAATCCTAGCATCTGAATCTTCCTAGCCAAAATGTCTGCATTTGGCTTCCTAGCCAAAATGCTGCAGGCTTCCAGCATAACCAAAACTGGTCTGAACCTCCATTTTCTAGGAGGTGGGATGAGAGAGGGAAACTGAGGCACCTGTTGGAATACAGACTGCCATGAGTCAATGGTAGAGATCACAGTATTAGTGAAAGTTACTTACCAGTATAATTCTTCAAAACCCTTCTGGAAGGTCACATATTTGAGACTGAGCATCATGTGCCACCAGAGTAAACACTATATACATATGGAAACCCGTTGGAGCATTCCACTCTTTCCATCAGTGACACGTGTTCAGAATAATGCTTTACGTATACCCTATATTAGGGGTGGCCAGATTTGCTCAACAGAAGAGCCACCTGTGGTAAATATCTGATGCTTGAGAGCTGCAAGTGGGCACCTGTGAGAGGTTAGCAGTGAGCCACAAAATAAAAAAGAGCCACATGTAGCTCATGATCCTCAGCTTGGCTACCCCTGCCCTATATGTTAGGGTATGCAAACAGTATGGGAGCATACAGAGGCAAGACCCTTGTAATTCAAGCTACTTTTAGGCAATTCATATTTCCTCTGAGCAGTCAAACAGTCACCCAAGCAGACTGGAAACATGGGAAGGACTCCTCACATATGAATACGCCACAGAAAATATGTACACCTCATTTGTAGTAAAACAGATGAACAAGCAACCACAGGACCAGTAAGCATAATGCATGGGTTCATTTTATGGCTTCTTCCAGATGGACAGCTCCTAGCATTACTGATCAAATGACATTGTGCAGCTATTCTATTTTTCCTTCCTTAAAAGATTTTCTGTGGCAACTAAAAAATATGGAAGATGTGGTAGGAAAACAGGAGGGTTACAAATTAAAGATAATCCTCCATAAAATTCTGTGAATGAAGCAGGGCAATTGTACAACAAAAGGGTTGCCTGAAAACACCCTAATCTCCTTGCAATGACTGCAGTCTTTGGTCAGCAGCCCATCGTGGTTTATTAGCCAAGGCAAATTCTGATGCCCGCCAGATTGCCAATCTAAGTCCTTGCCATTATGGCTTCTTCTGTCGTCCAGCCTTGGTAACGGTGGCCTGTTGGGGTGGTGACCAATAGAAAAGCATAAAGAGATAGCATGAAAAGAAGGTAAGAGAGCCCTACAACAAGCCTAAGTTCTGGATGATTTGTTAACCACCCTAACAAGCCACACTTGCTGGATTTGAACAGCAGTAGAAACCATACCTAGCAAGAGTAATTTTGTTATATTTTCATTAAGTTGTGTGCTGCTAGGAAGCCAATCCCTTTTCCTATATATAAACTTGATGGAGTATTCTATTTCGATATTCTTAATTTCTATGCTTCTTTGAAGGTCTTTTTGGATGAAAAGTACATGATATGCCCCTGAAAATACAAAATGGCCACATCTACTATTAGTGCCTAAAGATAATCTCTTTACTGAAGAAGGGATATCACTCAGGACTCTGCAACTTAACAACAAGCACAGTTACTTTCAGAGGTCTGAGTGTTTCAAAGAATTCCAAGGAAACAATCAACCATAAAAGCTTGAGTTAGGCTGTTTAGCAGCTTTCATCTCACAGACATACATGCTTTTCAAGACATTTTTATTCCTACATTAAGTTTAGGAAAGCATTTTCATCTAAGAATCATAATCTCTTATATGTTTTCAGGTCATTTAGACGTCTACTTTAAAATGCAATTTTCTCCTATAGTATTTTTTAAAATACATAACAGAGAAGACAAGGTTTATGTTGTTTAATTTTTGTGATGGATCCTTTCTTGGTGTATTGTATTTTAGCTTGGCCAGACATTCTCAAGGCCAATATGTCTGCTTGCAATACCTTCTTGGACCACTCTGAATTCATAGCTGAGCTAGTGCAGTTTTCCCTGAATAAACACTTAAATAATTCTTTCAGTTGCAACAAAATGAATCACTGTGTCATACTGAGGTATTTAGAAACATGAGTGTTCTTTTAACTTGTGAAGAAATAATGCATAATAGTGACCTTCAGCTTATCAGAGAAAATGAGCACAATATGCTCTGTAACTATTTCCTGGATATTGGCTCACTCTCTCTTAGGCAAGAGCAGACCCATTACCTGTTAGGGTATGTGAATAAGCAAAATATAATAATTCTGTGCTCACACAATGCACATATAGTGAGCTCGCTCGCTCGCTCGCTCTCTCTCTCTCTCTCTCTCTCTCTCTCTCTCTCTCTCACACACACACACACACACACACACACACACACACACACATTTTCCAAGCACAGGGAAGTAATCAGCCATATATACATCTTCTCTGAGAGAATTTTTTTTGGCGCCTACTATTCTGTTTTGTATATTGGTTGGGAATGAGGACCAAGAAGAATGTTATGAAAGTCTGCTATGCAAAAATAAAGGCAGAATTCAATTTCTCTGTGCCTGGTCGACCATATTCCTTGTTGAAGTGTTTCCAATACGATGCCTCAGTTTCCCTATGGACAATATGAATTTGGCTACTCATTTATTCATGCTGGAAGCATGCATTCTTATTGCATAATGAACTTTGAGAATCCTTCCAACCTTCAATCCTAAAACTCCCTAAATATAACAAAGATCCATTACATGGTACCATGTTAGGATCCCCCATTCACATGAGATCTCTCCCCCTGCCCACCATCTCACAGAAAGCTAAGCTACACAGCATATGGGAGATCTGTTACTGGATCTCCCAATGTCTTTTTCTATATTTCAAAGCTACTGAAAAGGGGCACTTATTTGTCTGGGGAAGCAACATGGTAAAGGAAAACTGAGGCAAGTGGATTCTCTTACTGCCATATCCCTGATTGAAATTGTCCTTCAGCTGCTTTTAGCTCAGCTGTGGAAAAGCCAGGATAGATAAACTGCCCTTCCCCCACCCCCATCCAGTGGGGATTAGAGCAGGGACAGAAAATTATTTTGAATGGAGAATGGGACAAGAGGAATGGGTTACTCCCTTCGCCCGAATTATAAATGGGAAGCCTCCTATGGCTTTGAAAAAATGAAAAGGACATTGGGATATCCAGTTGCACAGGTCTCCCATGACATGAGCAGTTTGACCTCAAGGCACACCCAAAGTCTCCCTCTTCCATCCATTCAGTACATTCTGCAGGTTGGGCATGGGTGGAAGGGAAAGAATAAGGCAAGACTGGTTGTGTGCCCTTTAGCAATATGAACTCTGGCAGATATAAGGGAGAAAAAACAATTTTAAGGATTTCTGCAGGGAGATAGGTATCATAGCCACTACAGTGCTATGTGCCAGCATGCAGTAAAGCCAGCCAGTCCTTATACAATGCTTTGGACTTCAAGAGGACAAACTCCATTGTGTGATGTTATCCATTTGAATCCATAGTCACTCTAGTTAATGCCTTCAGAAACACCTTCTATGAAATGACTCTGGTTTTACCCATATCCATCCCACTTGGGGCTATTCCACACATTACAGTACAAGCAGGTACACACATTAAAGAGTTATCATGAAATGTAGCCACCACCTTATATGTGATGGAACAGAAGTAAGCACCTGACTGATTTTAAAAGGGAATGATGTTGCACTGGACTGCAGAGGTGAGCAGTAGGTAGTTTAGGCTGTGGGGAAGCTTTAACCATTTAATTTTTGGCAGCACATCAGAGTTCTCTTGGGGACACTAGGCTGCCTCAAGCTCACAGGTTTTGTAATTACTGTAGCTATTTTTTAATTTGTGTACACACTTCTCCTGTAATGTGCAAAGTGGCCCTTGGTCAAACTGCTGATGGCTTTTTTGACTGATGGCCAAAACATCAGCATCAAAAGATGTTGGCTGATGGCAAATGCCATACTGAAAAGAGTTAACATTAATAGTCCTCTCACTAAAAAGATTTTGTGTAAACCTCCCACTGGAGTGACTCTGGTCTCTTCACACCAGTATTAACTATCACATTTGAGAAATTCTGAACTTCTGCCAGATAAAGGCCTCAATAGAAAGAGTCCACATTTTATACTTTATCTGAGCAACAGCATTTGTACAAATATAAAACTTTTACTGAAGAGTGGCTGAAAATCTGGGATTGATTGTTAACATTTTGAGAACCTATTCCTGGAGAAAAGGAATATCTATTATTTGCTAGTCAATAAATATGTCCCATAGGATTGGATTTGTACTTCCCTTCTCTGGATTGTACTTCCCCTCTCTGGATTCTCCAGCACCTATGCTAGCAAAAACCCAGTTCAATGGGGTGAAACTCTCATGTTTCAGTTTTTGCTCCCCACTCCCTGCAAGTTGCCTCCCTCCCCCGGAATTTTATCCCCACCACAGTTTTGAACTTACCCCAAACTCTGTCACTAAGATGTCTGTGATGCTACCCAGAACTGTGACAAAATCAAAGATATTCCAGGCATCACGGAAATAATTCTATAAAGAAAGAACAAAACAAAGGACGAAAAGGAACAGCCACACAGCAGCAAACAGGTGACAACATTCAATCACGACGGAAGCAACAGCAACAAGAACAGAGAGACCTCCACCCTGTCTACCCAAGTCACTTCCAGTTTACCTTTAGGGTGCACTCTAGTTCTTGTGATGGGAATTGCAAAAGAAAATGTGAATACTAGCTAAGGGCTTCCTTTCTACTCCAACTTCTACTGTATTTTGTCCTGAAAGAGGGGATAGCGGGACCAGTTTCATGAGCTCATTTCAGTGAAAACATCTGAACTCATGTTCTCGATGTCTTCTCTATTGGCCATAAACAGGCAGACTGAGAGCAGGATGAGAGCTAAACGAGGTTTGCCTGCAAGGCACTTCCTATGAACACGAGACAATGCTATTGCCCAGTGAATCCAAGGCCTATGATGCTCTCAGGCAAAGAGCTTTGCTAGGAAACCTGCATCTTCCCCCCGCCACCACTTATTTGCATGAACGGTCACATGAACACCTAAAATAAATAAATAAATAATAAATACAACACACATGAGCCTAATAATACGACTGCCTCTGGGGACTGTCCCACTTGTTAGCTGAGTTCCTCTAAGGAGAGAAAGCCAGTTGTTTCCAAAGTCTGACTTAGTAATTGCAGAGCTGCTAATGTTAATTAATTCAGCTCATAAAACCACCAAATTACCCATGTTGAGAGCAGGCATGAATAAGTTCCTGAAGGAACACCTGCCAGCAACTAATTTTGCTACTTTGAGCAAAATAGAGATATAGAGAGTGAAGAGCCAAGGCTCCATCCCTAACACCCCAAAAGAGGCCCCTGCCAAGTTCTATTGTCACAGATGCTAATTTGCAGCCTTTTGCTCCCTCTGAGTTGGCAGCTTGGGAGAGTGATGGCACCACTTACAGGAGCGGGATTTGGCCCAGCTACTATCAAGTGCTAACATCCATGCTAGAGGGAGCCCTTTGCTTGAACACCTTCAGTTTATCTTTTTTTGAATTTGCATTTATCCATGCTTAAGAACTCCAGGCTTTAGTGTACAGCAGATGTACATCTCCCTAATGCTCCTATTTTCCGAATATCGAAGTTACAATAAAAGTTATCACTGCTATGAAGTTGCTTTTTTCCCTTTAATTTCCTTGTAAGTGTCCTTCAAGACCAAGGGAGTTTCTGCTGCAAAGTCTGACTGCTGAACATAAAGGCTTTCAAGTCAGAGCCAAAATCTTTACTATAAATGTAACACTGAAACGGCATACTGTTCTTAGCTTGTGCCTGACTGGTGCTTCGAACTGAACATCCACTTCTTTCTTGGAGAAGCTAGCAACCAACTGCACACCACCCAGCAATAATCATCCCCAAGTCACAGTGCTGCTTGTATCAGCTCACATTCCTTGTTATAGTTAAATAAAGTCATTTTAATTGCAGGACAAAAGCCAGAGTCTAACTAGAATTGGACAGAATATAAACACTATTGTCATCAGTTCTATAGCAACAAAACTTAAGATCAGGCCTTTGGTTATGCTCCTTAGTAAATGCACCAGTTCCCATGCCCTCCTGAGGAAATGTTGTCCATTTCAGATACTCCCTCATGGTGAAGCTGTTTGCTACATCTCATGGTACCTTCTCAGATGTAATGCCTGAATACCCTGAAAGATCTGTTATGACATGTGATGGGACAGAGTATGATGATGAATAATAGTAGTAGTAGCAGCAGCAGCAGCAGCAGCAGTAACAACAACAGTGTAATATATTTCATTTCCCTCCCTGTTCCATAAGGAAATAGACTATATTTCTCATGTTCTGTAGTAGAGGCCTTCATTATTATTTCTCATGAAGTCTAGCAAAAGATACACTTACCAACAATCCAAAGGCGATGATTTTCAGAATACACTCCAAGGAGAACAGGGCAGTGAAGACAATGTTGAACATCTTTAGTAAATAATCATATATAGATGTGGCATTGTAGTACTATTTAGTTGCAGGGGGAAGGGGAGAGAGAAGAGAGAGAGAGAGAGAGAGAGAGAGAGAGAGAGCACAGTCATGAAGGATGGAACTAAGATTAGGAAAGGGACACTGGAGTGGTAGGAATGAAACTACACAAGTCCAGAGCCAAAGTGAGATGTCAGGTAAGGGTGGTACTAGGACTTGATCCAGGACTTGTGGGTCACAACTAGTCGACAAGTCCAAAAGGAGATCAAAGGACCAGGTTAACAGGAGCCTGAAGGACCCTGAAGAGCCATGGATCTGGACGGTGTCCAACAGTACGGTGTTCACAGCTGTAAAGCTGTAAATCTCAGAACACTCTACGGGATTCAGACCAGCCCCATGGTCTATTGCTAGGGCCTCAAGACATACATCCCATGGATCCCATGAAAGCATTGCCAATTCAAAGCCAGTCATCTCTTACTTACTTTCATCATTAGGACAATGGTGTTTAGGGCAATCATGGCCATAATGGTGTACTCAAATGGTGGTGAAACCACAAACTGCCACATACGGTACTGAAAGCTCTGTTTGTTCTGAGGCATGTGCCGGGTGAGTGGCTTGGCACTGATAGCAAAGTCAATGCAGGCTCGCTGTGAAGAAAGCATAGAAGAGTAATAGTGAAGAAGATGAGGGGGCTCTTTCACGAGACAGACAAGGCCAAGGAGAAAAAGCATTGAATTATTCATCTTTGCAAAGTCTAAATACAAACAAATCACTTTAGAGTCTTCTTAGCACAAAAGTGCATTTTTGCCCTACAATCCTTTTGTAGCTGACTAGAGCTGCAATGCCTTACTTCACAGCTGGGTGTGTACTATATTATTCCTGGGGAAAATGTACTAATAATTACTAGATACTGATTTAGCACCAACACCATGAGAAGTGCTTGTTGCTGCATGGATCAATGAAAGCTGCCTCTGACATTAATTTTAAAGGCAAGATTGTGCACATCATTGTCTTAAGATGCCTGTAAATGTGGGAGAGTTAAAACATGTTTCTGTGTCACAAGGAAGACACACATTCTCTGGAACCGTTTCCAAAATCTAACAAACAGAAGTCTTACTTAGGCACTAGATACATATCCACTTTCCTACATAAAGCTGAACATAAGCCACCAAAATGTGCATGTAATGTGGCAAGTGGCCCTTAAGAGGTAGCTCCATTGAATGCACACTAACCAGAACTAACTTGCTCTGATGGAGTATACAGTCCAGGACTATCCAGGAAGCATGAATGGTAAGTGCAATCAGGTAAATCCTGTTTCTGCTCATGTGGCAGGTTCAATGGGATCTGCATTGCACAGCAGCCTCAGCTGAATAATCACCCAGCCTAAGACAGGGGTGGGAAACCTATAACCCTCACCCCAATCCCATCAGCCCCTCCAAGTTCACAGAAGGAGAGGGAAGGAAAGTTGTGGCACCAAGAGAAAAGAAGGTAGTTCTACCAGGCATTGGTTCTGACTCTTTGTTGTTGGCATGCATGTCCCAAGAGATAAGGAATATAGGCAGCTGCCTTGTACAGAATTAAACTATTGAGCTATGTAGTTCCATACTGTCTACACTGACTGGCAGTTAATCTTCAGGATTTCAGACAGGAATCTTTCTAAGCCCTACACAGTGATGTCAGAGACTGATTCTGGCACAATTGCACACTGAGTATGTGCTTGACCACTGAGCTATGGTCATTTCCCCCCAAGATATGACGACCACAACGGAAAGATTCCCTACCTCTGCTTTAAGAACACCTTTGCTTCCCAAAGGCGACTGGCTGCAGGTCATGATGATTTAAAGGGGAAGGAAACATGACCAAGTGGGACTATATAAGCATGCCAGAGAAGCAGAAGCAGAATCGCCTTTCTGTTGAAAGGAGTGGAGGAACAGCCTAATGACACCATCTCAGTTCTGGACATAAGGAAATTCTACTATCCTCCAGTTTTACAGATGAAAGCAGCAGATGATGCTCACATGTTAAGAAGAGACATCATGACCAAGATATTACTTTTGAGGATATGCAGACAGAGACAGAGGTCCTTTAAAATGTGAATAGCTTATCTGTAAAGGAAACCATATTACTGTTTATATACTCTGGAGATTTTCAGTACATGGAGCATTGCCCTTATGTGTGCTTATTTCTTTTAAAGTACCCTTAGTACTGTCTTTTAAAAATATTTTTTCTAACTCTCTAGAATTTCTCATGGTGAAGGGATGGATACAGTTCAAAATGTACTGGGGTTCTTAGTATTATTTTCTATACCAAATCTGCTTTTGCACTCTGACTGCTGGCTCTTGTGTCAACAATTTTTTTATTGCAGCAAATCATAGACTCAAATAATATAATCAACCCCCACTCCCTGGGCACATTACCCAGGATATATTTCTAGCAAGCCAGAATTTTGGAACTCCGGTGAAGAAATGGGGAAGAATCTTTAGGAAGCTTTTTGGGTTTAACAATCTCACTTTTTCCTGCCAAGGCAATATTTTCATTGGCTTTTGCCCATGGCATAATGCCCAACCCCAACACATGCCAAACCTCATTCTTCTCCAGGCTGTACTCCTCCATCATCTTGTCCCCCTGCTCCTGGAAGGTGATGATGATTAAGGCCACAAAAATGTTGACAAAGAAAAATGGGAAGACCACAAAGTAGACCACATAGAAGATAGACATCTCCATGCGAAAACCAGGGCTGGGGCCCTGATTCTCATATGTAGCATCCACCGAGTGCTTGAGGACACTGCAGAAAAGACAAAACAAGGAGAGATGGAGAAAGGAAACATGGGAAAGGAGAAAGAGCTATGTGAATGATCCATCAGACTCATGGCCCCACCTAAGAAAGCGGCAGCAACTGGTGCTTCTGAAACATGTTCCAGATGCTCAAATCTTAAGCAGATTTGTGGTATAGTGTCTTAAGAACCAATAAGAGTGGACTACATAAAACTCAAAATAAGGAGGGCTCTTTATCAGGAATGTTGCTGGGCACTTTAAAGATTTAGAGCCCAGGCCCATAGGACACAAATCTGCGTAAAACTAGCATGTGCATGTTTATATCTATATATGTAAATGTAGAAATAATTTTTTTGCTAAGCTTGATTGCCATGCAGAGAAAAAATTGGGGGTGGAGTGTTCCAGTATATGGGAAAGGGAAAGTTAACTTTTCCCTCCCCTTCCCAGCTGCAATCTCTGTGGAAAATCTCTCCCTCCATGACAATTAAGCTGGGGTGGTGGGAGACTTCAGCTGGCACCAATGGACACTCAAGGCTCTGGGGAATAGACCCAGGGTCATAGAAAATGTATTTGGGGCTCAGGCCCCATAGATGCAGGCCAGTGATGCCATGCTCATTGCCCAAATCAGCGACAAGATCTTCTGTGGTTTGAAATTTTAATCACTTAGTGAGATGAATTTTACTAAACTCTGGATCTGAGCCAGAAATTCTGGAACTCCAACAGTCATGGCTGCTGGCAGAATTTTCTGCAAGTGGGAAAGAGATGGATGGGAAGGCAGCACTTACCTCTTCCTCTTGGGATGCATAGAGGAAGAGGAAGATGCACTCATTTGTTCTGGTTCTCTTTCCCATGGTTGTCAATGCAAGCACTGGCACTTTTGAAATGGAGACACCTTCTAACAATTCTGGTGTTTGTTTTTAATTAACAAAAAATACATTTACAAATCTGTAAGTCAACAAAACAGAACGTTAGCCTTTCCAAAACCAAAGATCAGTCTGAAACATAGAACATTACATTTAAAACATTCCTCGTAAATGTGTAACTACAGTTTACAAATGTTTATCTGAGCATGTGTCTTCCATACATTTATAAATGTGTGCCATTCTTGCTCCTCTCATCCCTGTTTCACTTTTTTTCATCACAGCAGTACCCTAGTTCTTCACTGCTCCCTGTTTACTATGGTGGCTCAGTTATATATTTCATTAAAGTCAAAGGTAGCAGGTATGCCCATTAGTGTACCCTGATTTTTGTCAGGACATCCCTGCCATGTGGAGAGGGGAGCTTCAATGAAAAATTCTGTTTTATTGATCACAAGCACTTCCAATGGATATTATGCTTGGGAAGAGAAAGCCTGGAGCTTAGAAGGAAAAAGTCTCATCAGTGCCAGAGGGAAATGGTTCTTATGCCCTAACGGCTGTGCTGGAGAGCATGTGTTAACTGGTAAAACTGGGTCCATGAAGGAAAGTATTAAGACTTTAATTCCTGCATGCAGGAGGCTCCCAACAAAAATGGATCTCCCCGATTTTAAAATGAAGGAGGAAAAGCAGGAAGATTAAAGATGAAGCTGCTATTTACATATTTAATGTAACATACAGTTGAGTCCTTTGGAGCTGCCAATGGACTGTTTCCAATTTTTGAGCAACACGTTTTTGTTGTAACTAAGTTTTGTTGTCCCCCTTAAATTCTGCAACCCCTGTTGTTGGTGTGGGGATTATGCACTGGAAAACTAGATAAACTAGATATGAACTGAATGCAGTTATGAGCCACAAGACAGAAAAGGCTTCTCTGGTTCGGTTGCACTTGTGAATTTATGTCCTGTGACCCCATTCAGAAGCCTTAGGATTCACCATCCAATATCTCAATACTAGGGTACGGGAAAGAGTAGAAACTGCATCCAATTTACATGAGCCATAGCTTACACCTTCCGAATTTAGCTTATTTTAACTCAGGATCTTAGGCAGGGAGGGTAAAGGTCTTGAATCACAAACCTCCAAACCCACCCCCTCATAAAAATAATTTACACCCTTAACTACACATTCACCACCACTTTTTAAAAAACATTGCTGTGCTTTCTGTGGTTTTCTGTCAGCATGCATAAATAACTAAATAAATAGTTTATCTCTTTCTTCCTGGGACAGTGTTTTCATACAGTAAGGATAAACCATGGTGGATCTGATTAGGCTCCTATGTGTCAAAAATGGCTTAGTGGTGGAAGGTGAAGTTCATCCAGATAATCCAGGCTGGTTCAGACCAGCAGTTTGACTTCAACAGCAACCAACCAGATGTTATCATCCCTTGCTTTCTAGTGGATCCTCATTTTCTTGAATGACTTACTCTGGCCAGCCTTCTCCTGTAGACACAGTGAAGAGAGTAAGAAGCGCCCACAATACATTGTCATAATGGAACTCATATTTCTTCCACTCTCGCTTCTCAGCTTTCACTTCATTGTTCTTCTCATAGACTAAATACTCTCCCCTAGGAAAGAGATCAACAAAAACATTAAGGGGTACACTTAATGGCATATGGGCATTTTAGCAAGGTTCTGCTAAGCCACAAATTATCTCTTTGATGGTGGATGCAACTCTAGCTTTTGAATGAGTGTGAGTAGAACTGGTAACTTTTATTCATATTACAAGATTGTTTCAAATATTAACCAGGATAACTCCAATGATCAAACTTTAGTTGATATAAGAGCCTCATTTGCTAGGCTCAAATAGAGGTTGAGTCACTTTGTGCTGACATAATAGGTCCAAACAGGTCCAATTTGTATAAAGTACAGGTAGTTCATTAAGGAACAATCCCATAAATACTTTTCTGGGAGGAAGCACATTTGAACTCCTTTAGAGAGATAGGACCAGGCTCCAGGGAATTACACTGGTGTTATTGAAGAGGTTATGAACTTCTTGAATCCATCTTCATATATCTCATCAGGATGTAATAACTATGAGAGTTTTACATGTGGAACCAAAGAATGGTTTGGGATAGGTCACATGACTTAGGCACCACTATTTCTGCTGTTCAGTAAGCGAATGCATTCATAGCATCATGGCCTAGTCTCCGTTTCTTGTACAAATGTTAGTTGCCGTAGCCTCATAACATTGACGAAACACATGGGATCTGTCTGACTTGCACCAAATATGCTAAATCTGGCTTGCTTGCTAATGATTGAGTATAAACTTGGTTATATTGAGAGAAGGGGGGATCCATAGCTGATAATCCTACATCCAATATTAGGGAGGGTTTGAGCTGCTGGTGGGCTAGGGGCAGCTGAGCTACCAAGACCTCTGATCTGAGTATGAATACAGTGGCATATTTCCTTTCTTTCCATTTAATCCAGCCAGTCTGCTATTGAAATATCACAGAACCAAGGTATTCCAATATTTCAATTGCATTTTCCCTATGCCAGGTAATTTCAGCTCTCTAACTTCAGAGAACTTTAATTTTCACTCATGTTAGCACCTGCAGTTAGAAATCCTTCATCGCTGCTCAAGGTGTACATTATTTTGAAAGAACAGAAACTGGAGGAAAAAACACCCACCAAGCACTTCTGTTTGATCATTGCTTCTCCTCTTAAACATGTATAATTTGAATATTTGACTATTTCAGCAAGAAATATAGATCCTAATGCTGCTAAATGTAATTAGGGATTTTAAGACATTTAAAACCCATTGCATTTAGCATATTGGACTTTTAAAATGGTATCAGTTAAGTGCAACTGGCCAGATATGACTGACAAGAAGATCAGATTCTTCTTCTCAGGACCAACTCCTCAAACTGAAGATAAAGGAAAGGATGAAACATGAAGCTGATGCCAATCAGGTACAGCAATCCAAAGTGGTGACTGGAGTAAGGGGAATGATAGGAAAACAGAAATTAAAACTTACGAATGCCATGTGTCTGATTAAATTAGGCTATGAGCCTACGGAAAACCTAGACTGTTTGTTTTAGAGCTGAACAGCTTGTGACCTTCCAGATGCTTTGGCCTACAGGTTCCTCACCACTGGCTATGTTGGCCAGGGCTGTTGGGAACTGTAGGCCAAAACTTCTGGAGGGACATAAGCTGCCTTCTCCTGCTTTATTTCATGTATATGGACTATTGATGCAATTTACTTCAAAATGGCAACCGACAATCAGCATAAACAAAGAGAACTAAACAGCACACGTTTCAGCATAATATAGATCAGGAATTATGGCACTGGGATTTCATTCACCAGCATTGAATAAGGAGGGGATACAATGTGAGAGGCGCTGTCCGCAAGCCCCTAATTCCAGGGAAGAGCCACATGAGTTCACAAAACATGTTGGCTTGCCATAGGGAAAGGGAATGGGGCAGGGCAGTGCTGGCCGTGGGCTTACAAGATCCCTTGGGCAATGCATTCCAATGGGTTCCCTCCACTCCCTCAGGGAGTCTACCATCTCACTGTCATTGTCACCAGCTGCTCTTGCTTCCCTTGCTTTTTTCATCGTTACTACAGCTTGCTTGCTGGACAGGCAAAAAGCCAATGAGCAAGTAGGTAGCGAACATCTACTGCTTCTCCTCCTTGCCACCACCATTGTCTGGGCTAGACCAAGAGGTACGTGAAGAAACAGGTTGAAATGGTGAAGGGAACAAATAGGTCTAGAGGGTCCTGCTTGGGTAGAGGCCCTACACAGATGCCTGACTATGCCAACTCCTGATGCTGGGCTGGGGAAGAGGCCCTGGAAACAGAATGGTGGTAGAGTGTTCCACTCTTACAGGTAGCTTAGAAATAATTTTAGGCAGAAAGAGAGAGAAAGAGAGGCTACAAACCTGCAGTCCTTTTCAAACTCCTTCGATTCATCAGTGCAATAGAAGAACTTGCCTTTAAAGAGCTGGACAGCCACCACAGCAAAGATGAACATGAACAGCATATACACAATGAGAATATTGAGGACGTTTTTTAGTGAGTTCACAACACAGTCAAAGACAGCCTGGAGAAATTAGAAAGCTCTGGTAAGAGTTTGCTATGGAATTATTATTACTTTCTCTGCAGTCTATTCTTCTGTGAAGCAAAACAAAAACCACAGGGGCTACAAAGTAAAAAAAGATACTTATATTGTATGAAGCACTTAAATAAATATTGTACAAACCACTTAAAATTATGACACACTTACAATTAATTTTAAAACTGCAAGTTAAAAGCAGCAGTAAATTTTAAAAGCAGCAGAACATAAAATTCCTTAAGACAACAGTTCCAATAAATATTAAAAGTTTGTTGAAAGAAAAACTTCAAATGCCATATACAAACAAAAAGCAAAAATATTTCACAATCTTGCAATCACCTCGTGTCTACACATCTATTCTCTGGTAACTATGGCAAAGGTTTCTGATATCAATCTCAAGGGCCAGGCAAATTCACCTGGAAGCAGATGGTTCCTGAGGCAACCTGGTCCAAAGCAATCCTAGTACCCTCAGAAGGGCTTCCTTCATTACAACTATGATTGCTGCCCCAAACATCCTCTGGTTCCTCTGGGGCTTCAGTGACCTCTCAACAGAGCAATGCCATCCTCACAAAAAGGAAAGATACTTTCTTAGCTATTTCCAGAAAAGTAGCAATTTTATTCTGTCACAGCAAACTCTGCAGATGATCCTGTGACTCTTTAAAGACTATTACATGTGGGAGGGCTTGCACATTATAATTTATGAGCAGTGTGCTTGTAAATGTTTCCTGATTGCCTCTGCTGTGAGCAGAAGTGGCTAAACAAACAAGAATTTCTGTCTATAGTTTCTTTAATGTGACATTCAGACTTGGAACTCTGACAGGCCAGAGAAATGGCCCAAGAACAAACTGTGCAACTTGTAAACAAGAAGCCAGATTCCCTCAGAACTCTGACTGATCATGTCATGTGAACTGGGTCATAATGGTAAGTCCACTTCTTCAGATTCATGAAGTGTTCAGCTGATAGGTATACCAACTAGATATGTGTGAGGAATCTCTTTTGTGGGTGGGAATCCATCAGATTTCCAGGGCTCAGTTCCACAGATGCTGGCCTGCTTTCTTGGGGCCATGAATCTGATGTTCTGGTGAGCACACCAAGTGTTCACGTGGCACTCTCTGGAAATTGAGCCCCGTGAGACTGCTGCACAAGTGACATCACTTTTTTCTGCACATGATTTTCAGCCTTTGTTTCTGTTGCTTGTGACATAGGAACGAAGTTGCTGGTTGCCAAACAGAGTTCTGTAAGTATCTGAGACCGTCCTCTCAGCTCAACTCACTTTCTAAGACAAGGCCAAGCATTGAGGAAGTCTATGCTAAAAAGAGCTGGAGCTAAGATTGTTGCAATCCTAATACCAACTCAAAAGGAAAGGTCTTTTTGCTTCTTGACATGTGGAGCCAGAGGGAAATGAAAGTAAACAAATATACAGTGTAATAATTAGGCTAAAGCAGGGGTTCCCATATGATTCCCCAGAGATACCTCCAATGGCACCTGTGAGAGGTTCCTCAATGTGATTTCTGTGGTCGATCAAAATGTTTTAATTTTAATGTTTTAATCTTAATTTTTCCCAGTTTATAAATATAGTTACATGAATTTGGATAAAATGCATACAACCTTCTAGCAATAATACACAGACTTCAACAAAAGCAGACCAAACAGCCAAAGAAGTAGCTGTCTGAACGTATTATCTATATGCCACTCGTTCGAATATTGAAAGTTTTGTAAGGTCCTTAGTTTATTGCACTGTAAGAGGTGGGTGGGTATCCTTCCAGAATTATAATAACAGTCTCTTAGCCGCCAAAACAGCATAGAGAATCCATTCACACTAACCATTTGTTAAATTTCCATGAAGCAGGCAAATGAGAGTGTATATCAGTGAATATTAAAGACAGTACAAAATTTACCCATGAAATAACTTCCCCACAAAAAGAAGCAACTACTAGGCTTGCCAAAACATATGTTTAAAAGTATTCACTGAATTGCATTGCCAGTAATTAGCTGAATTAGACTATCCCTTAATAAAGAGCTATTGCAGTATGAAATATACACAGAACTAATATTTTTGCTGAATAAGAATGCAGCCTAAGATTCATAGACACGACACATGGATGTCAGTGATGGTTAAGCATTTTGTGGTAGTCTCCACAGCAGTTTCTAAAATTCTTAATTGTGCCCAAGTCTCTAAAAAGATTTGAGGCCCTGAACTAAATCTTAAAGTAATGGAACCATAATGGCCATGCACAAAGCATCATTGCTGATAAGACAACTAACATGCATCTGATGACACAGACTCCAGTGCACAAAAGCTTATGCTATAATAAATGGTGCTGCAAAATTATTGGTTGTTTATTTTTAGCTATGTCCTGAACGGCTATGTGAAATGCATTTAGTAGGTGCAGCTTATCCAGGCACAGAGGTACACGGAAGAAAAAAGCATTGCAGCCCTGCTATCAGAAGCACCGAAATCCTGCTAGAAGAAACTAGTGAAATTATTAAGCCCCCAAATGGATTAATGGCTGTGCACATGAGAGAGATATGCAGAAAGAAAATAAAGGGATCCAAGTGCTCAGTCCTCTGTTTCATTAGATTCCATATTTTTACATAAAAGGAACTTTCTCACTTTAGCTATACCTACATTTTCCATTTTGACATTTACTGTCCATTTGTACACCCTACGACACAATCCCAGACCCACCTGGTAAAGTTTCCACTGCAAACATACCTTTAACTTTGGCAATCGCTTGATAGTTTTGAGGGGTCTGAGGACACGAAGGACACGCAAGGATTTGATGGTATTTATGTCTTTCCCTTTGCTGCCTCTGTAGAGAAATGTTGGGTGGGGATGGAAAAGCAAGGAAAAGCAGTGAGGTGTATGTTTTACTCTAGCTTGGACAAAGGGCTACCAAAGGGATTGATACACTTATGCTATCAGCTGCTTTGCAGTGATTTGTTGGCATGGCACTCCAGAATACCAAGGAAAGACTCCTAGGTTACTCTGCACAGCATCTTTTTTGTCACCCGCTCTCCATGTAAGGTCTTGCACACAACTTCCATAATTCAGAATGTCTAAGCTTTCCTTCTTCCCTAAATAAGATATTGCTCTAGAAATTGTTCTGTTTAGCTGCTATGTCTACCCTTTCCTGGTACCAGCCTATTCTTGCCACTCTTCCAGTTTCTTTATTCCCCGGTGTAAGCTTTCATTTTCACCCACCACTTTTCCCAGGTGCACTTTTGGTATTTCTCCATTCAGTTGATAGCTATCATCCCCTTCAGAAGTACTTTAACTTCTTAGTATTGAAAGGTTCAAAATCTCCGTGGGGAGCTAGGGATATGGCATATCCAGTCCCCTGGCATATATTCTTCATATTAGAAGGGACTGCTCTAGCTATGCTGTTTTCAGGGGAGATTCTTGCTTCACAGCCTGCTTGATCCTTTAATTGTTTCTTGTTGCCAGCTGCTCATAAGCAGAAACAGAAGGTGCCGTGAGGCATAGCTGAATTGGGATAATAGGAGTAATGTCACTTTGTCTAGGGACTCACTGATAACAGCCAATATGCACTGCCAAAATATTCAGAAGAAGCAGCCAAATCAGTTCCCACTTCCTCCAAATACCAGTGCTTACCAATCAGGTTCTCCTTACCAGCAGCACCAGTGCTGATGAAATTCTACACTATTCAACATTGCCTTTCCCACATTTTCTGTGATAGTAATGTTCCCTCCCGGTCCCATTATGTTGTGAAATGTACACACACACACACACACACAAAGATCACAGCACTGCTAAGGTTTTTTACATTATATTTCTCAGATTTCAGTTGCAAATGGTTGTATATCTGTGTGTCATCAAAAAGAAAGAGAAAGAAATAATTTCACCATGGATTCTCCCATACATAGGAAAAATAGCAGAGGAAGGAAGTGTGTCCTAGATATATACTAAAGTCACAAAAAAGTGAAGAGGAATGTGTTTGCATCTTCAGGGGCATATGCTATCTGTTTATAGATAACCTATGCAGAGTCACCATAATAGAACAATTGAGGAGACCAGTTCCAGACCTGATACAAGGTAAAAGGCCATTTATTTATTTATTATATTTATTTCCCACCTTTTTTCCTTCCGATGAAGTCAAAGCGGCTTACATAATTCTCCTCCTGCTCTCAATGTGATCCTCACAACAACAACCCTGTGAGGTAGGTTGGGCTGAGAGTCAGTGACTGGCCCAGAGTCACCCAGTGAGCTCCATGGCTGAGTGGGGACTAGAACCTGGATTGTCCGAGTCCTAGTCCTGCACTCTTAACCACTACACCACACTGGCTCTCTAACGCATTTGCAGTACAAAGTACACCTACAGAACCATCCCATTCTTAAGGCATAATCAAGCTGATACATCCGCAAAGGCATTGGATATTTTGCTTATATAGTTAAAGAAGACACTTACCAGTACTGTTCATTATGAATTTTACTCCTTCATATTTAAGAGACTGAGAGCCAATTAAAAAATTCAGAAAAATCACATTCCTGGGACAGTATCACTTCAGAATCAGATGTGAGAGCAGAACATGCTCCTCATGTCAAATGTACATTGCATATGGGAAGCTGCCACTTCAGAAAGAATGGTTCTAGCCTAGGTTTCTTCATCCATGATTTAAAATTGATTCTGAAGAGGCCCAGTTCTTAGAATACTGTACCACTGTTGCCATTTGTAACATTTGCACTGGCTTATACTCTGTGTGAAGTCTGATACTCCAGAACCTTCTCTCCAGCAGTGAACTGTAAGAAGACATTCCAGCTTCCTCCTTCAGTGTACAACATACATGCTAAGATGATCTAATGAGTTTTACATATGTTGAAATTAAAGGAATAAATACATAGATCCACTTCAAATGTCACAGCACTGTTTCACTCCATCTTAAGCAATTTTACTCTTACTATGGAGAAATACAGAACACTGTTCACTTTACTCACAAGAAGCCACTGCGAAGCTGCCAAACTTGGTTCGAGAAGCATTGTGGTAAATAAGACACATATTAGCATCTTACTGTCCAGAGGTGGAGTATACAAGTAAAGGCGCAAGACGAAAAAGCATGCTGGTGCTGCTGAGATCATTCTTATTCATTATGTGGATCGACTTTGGGCTCATGAGCTGCCTCAGGCTGTAGCTGTCAGTTTCAGCTGCTAAAATAAGGGCTGTACTTGACTGTAAGGCAGGATCTCAAAACAGGGCATACATGCAGAACTGGGACACATTTGAAGTGTCTCCCTCCTTTCCTCTAAACTTTAAGCAGTTCTTTCTGGGATGCCAGGTGCTGATACCACCTTAGTGATACTATTTTTTCTAGTAACATTTCTAAGCCATTTGAGGATTGATGGCTGAGGATATCAGACATGCACGTGAGAAGCATTCTCTTTGACAACTCAGGTTGTTAAAATTCTACCAGTTTGAAAGCAAAATGGCATCACCTGAAACCAAGGAAGTGTTTTCTACATGAAGGCAGTTATGCTGCTAAAATCTCTGCAGAATGTTAGCACAGATGATTACAACAAGCTAAATCTACAAGCCAGCTATCACATAGCTTTTCTACTGTTGAACTTACCTGAGAAATCAAAATAATTGATTATAGTTCTAAGTCTAAGAAAATGTTCTGGTCCCCACTCAGCCTTGAAGCTCACTGGGTGACTTAGGACCAGTCACTGACTCTCAGCCTAACCTACCTAACAGGGGATTCATGAGGATAAAATGGAGAGGAGGAGGAAAGGTATAAAGATAACAAAGAAAGACAGTATACATTGCTACATAAAGGGCGAGCTGTATTGCTACCACTGCTTCACAGGCTCTGCTATCTAATATATACTGCTCGGCAGCACTGATAATTTTACACTTCTGGTTCAACACATGTGAACAGGCTCACAAAATAATGGAACTAGCAGCATTCATTTTCAGAAAGTCACTGTTGGAGAGATGGTTTTCAAACATCGGACTGAACACATACTCATTTTCAGCACATGGCCAACAGAGTCTCTTGGAAAGAACTCTGATTACAATTCTTTCAAAGGCCAGACACAAAGGCAAAGAGCTCCAGCTAGTGACTTTGTGGTCTGATAGTCAGATCTTTTCTCAGGGTTCTTCCAATAAACAGGAGGTATTATAAACATGAAGATGCAAATCCCATGTCCAGGAGGGACATATCCCAGCCTGATCCATTTAGCAGTCACTCTGGCCACAACATTCCACTATACTGTCCCATTACAGCATCAGTATTTAGCACTGATGAAATAGCTAGTCTGCAAAACAAAGAGATAAAAGGCTAATCTGTCTGCAGAACAAAACAGAATAAATTTCATAGTTGTGGAGCTATCCCTTCCATTGATTTTATAGCTTTGTTCAGCAAGGGGCCTTCCCCCTGATGATAATGGGCCCCATGCCCAAAGCTGAGTCATTCTGCTCTCCAAACTTGCTGTCCCCTTCCCACATCTGCTTCACCATTTTAATAGAATAATGCACAGAGGATGCACGTTATAAAAAGCCTCTCCCAAACAGATGTGCCACTGCTGCTTCGGGCTGCCGGTCTGTGCAGTGGGAGAGCGCTGCAGCAGGCCTTGGGGAAGTACCCCACCTTAGAAATGTTTGCCAAAGACTGTAAGATGTTACCAAAATCTCTACCAGATGGGGCTTCCTCACCCAGGTCAACCATGTTTCCAGCCACCACCTTTGCCTTTGATTCCTTGGTTGAAATGGAATGTTCAGAATGCCAATGCTAATGCATACAATATTATCTCTAAATCAGGGATATTGTAAGGTATCTGAATCCCAGAAACTGAAATCCTGGTAGTAAAAGATACTGCTCCAACTCTGTGAGATAAAACAGAATGCCTTATGTTGGGAGAGAGAGAAAGAGATCCAAGATGACTTCCCTTCCAATCGCATTAGCTCCTCAAAATGATGCATAACCAAGATCACACAGATAATAGAATGCGTACCAAAGAGTGAGTGAGAAAGAAAGAAAGACAGAAAGGCAGAGAGAGAGAGAGAAAGAGAATGAGAGATTGAGAGAGAGAGAGATAGAGATAGAGAGAGAGAGGGACAGAAAGACTTTACCGTGAGCTGCTCCTGTTGTGAAGTGGCAGTGAAAGGGAAGAGACAAGGAAAGTGAGTAACAATCAGAAAGAGAACATATAACATAAACCCCAAACTAATCCATATCCCACGCTGGCCTCTGTCTGAGGAAGTCTCTACACCAAATCTGCTGCTCTGCCTCCACCAAACAGGGCATTCACTTCTTTGCTGCCTTGAAACAGAGAGTGGTCCTGGCCTACATTTGTTTAGCAATATGGAAGCGCTGGAGTTGACACCATCCTGTATTCCAGCCTAGCAAGGTAGTTCTAGTACTTAACTTGGGAGGCTTCTTGAAACATTGGACAACTTGTTTGTATTTCTTAAACCATCTATGAAAAAATCTCTATCTCCCTGCTCATCCTAACATTCCTTCTGAAAAACAAAACAAACAACAGATAACAGCCAGAGATATTTCCAAGTCTTAATTTCCCTTATTTGATTGCTTATTAATACCTCACTCAGATTGTAATTGGTTTTTAGCTGAGGTATTACCTTAGATTTACATATCCCTTATTATTTATTGAATTGCTGTTCCTCATTCAAAATCTATGAAAATTTATGAATTCTTAGTTTCCAATGATATTAAATAAATAGAGGACAGGGTGTCAAATGCCATAGTCTCTACATGGTTAACCAAAAAGCAAGTCCCAATTATAGAGTGAAAATGCAGAAACAGTAACCCTGCACTCCTAAGCTTCCTGACAAGC